GACAGGTATTGGGAAAAGCCAGTGCCCCGTTGTTGACTCGAGGTGAGCAAATGAACCAGAGCTGAGATAAGTTGACAGTGACAGTGGAGCAAGGGCTTTATATGTGCCCTGTCACCTGCCAATCCAGAACTGGACCACAGAAAAGTGCTGAGGATGCTGGCCAGCAGAGCCTGCAGCAGTCGTTGGCGGTGCTATCTTTCCCTGACGCTTGTGTGCTGGAGGACAGAGGAACCACCTCTTCTCACAGGTTAATACTCTGTTCCTAAGACCTCAGGTTACCCAGTGCAGCCTGCTGTGACCCTTTTGCTTCATTTTCTGCCACGTGATACAGAATCTCTTCGTTCTGCTGCTTTGGGGACAGGTGATCCTAGCCCTAGCTTAGGGCCAGTGCTCTGTGCTACCCTGGAGAAATAGGAAAAAAATAGGGGTGGCTCAGTACAGCAGCCCTGTGAAAGTCAAGGCCAGACCTTTTCTTTTTATTATTGTAAAAAATTGAGCTAGGGTCTAGCTATGTTGCTCAAGCTCATCTCCAACTCCTGGGCTCAAGTGATCCTCCTGCCTGCCTGGGCCTGCCAAAGTGCTGGAATTGCAGGCATGAACCACCATGCCTGGCTGGCAGAGCTTTTCCGTGTGTTACTCCTTATGCTGGTTGGAATCATGACTCCAGGCTTCCGCTTTGTCTGATTGGACTGATACTCATTTCTGCCTATGCCCCTGTGAAGGATTCGGTAAGAGTGCTATTTGCTTCTCCCTTTAGAAGACAGGCTGTCTTCCTTCACCAAGTTACAGCAGATAATCCCTATGTGTGCCTGTCTCCTTCCTTAGATGGGGACCAGGACACCTTTTTGGGGCAGTCAAGAAAGAAACTCATGTAAACAGTAATCTTATTACTTGTATTTGTGACTAACTCCAGGGAAAAGGGTAGAAATTTAGGCCACTTCGGGCCCTACCACAGAGTGAGTTGAATTCGTAGTGATGGCTTGGGCTGACACAGTTTCTTCCAGTGGACCAATAAATCAGACTCACCTGAATCCCTGGGGTTTGGGTAGACTTGGACCTACTCTAGGACTGTGGGGAACTAAAGGAGCATTTGACTCACTGTAGCTCTTCTATCATGAGCCTTGACCATCAGGTCGCAATCAGACCTTACTGATGGGATCTCTGCAGAGTTTATCATGGAGGCCTCCCCTTACCCCAGTATACAAATACCTTCCCCACCTCTAGCCCCCTAGCCTCACACTGAATGTCTCCTCAACAGCAGATTGTGGTGGAAGTTATAGTTGTGTGCCTCTATTTATTCTCTGAGTTGTACTGTAGAAACAGGTGTTTATAAAGAATAAAGAAATCACCGGAACTGCCTATACCTAGTTTTCCTGCCTTTCTGGCCCTGCGTCTTCATGAATATCAATCCGTCTGCCGCTTGCAAAAGTTAATCAGATTAGGCCTTGGGACTGACCCTGCACACTTTACTATATCAAATCATTTAATTTTCTCAGCCTCGACAGAGGAGGGGTATGGACTTTTTTTTTTTCTTTTTAAATCAGTCTCAGGCTGCCCCAACTAGTAAGTGGCACCGCTGGGTGGGATTTGTATCCAAGTCTTTCTGATTCCAACTCCCTTTCTACTGGCCCCCTCTCACCCTGAGCATCAGAGTGCCCAAGACCTGAGACCAGTTATGACCACACCTTCTGGGTTACCTCTGGCAGGTCCACTCCTGCAGTTTCCCTTTCTCTGCAATGAGTAGAGAGAGAGTGGTGGAACATCGACCCCCATGCTCACCCTTTTACATGCATGTCCTTATTGGAGGAAGGTACTATTATCATCCCTGTATAACAGATGAGGCTCAGGGAGGTTAAGCAGTTTCTCCAAAGTCCCATAGACACTAAGGGGCACATCCCAGAACTTAAACCCTGACCTGTTTCAGCCCAGAGGCTGAGCTTTTTTTTTTTTTTTTTTTTTTGAGACAGAGTTTTGCTCTGTCACCAGGTGCCAGGCTGGAGTGCAATGATGCCACAATCTCGGCTCACTGCAATCTCCGCCTCCTGGGTTCAAGCAATTCTCCTGCCTTAGCCTCCCGAGTAGCTGGGACTACAGGTGCACGAGGCTGAGCTTTTAACCAGTACACTACCCTGCCCGCCTAGCCCTAACTTTTCTCCCAGTCCTAAACTGGATGCTCCTCTGAGCCCAGCTCCTCTAGAAGTTGCCTGTGAGAAGACCCCAGGAGCTAAGTCCCAAGCTTTAGTGCCATTCAGAGCCTGGTTTTGGGTTGAAGACTGAGATCTTTTATTTTCTTTCCTCTAGCCTCTGCCCTCCACATTAAACAAGTATCTATTTACCTCTCTTTTTTTAGCCTTATACTTTCTTTTTAATGAGTAATTTTTAAAAAAAATGTATCTCCATCTTTCTGCCACTAGTCAAATATTACCACTGAAAAAAGTTAAATATTTTGGAGAAAGCGTCTTTTTTTTTTTTTTTTTTTTTTTTGAGATGGAGTTTCACTCTTGTGGCCCAGGCTGGAGTGCAGTGACACGATCTTGGCTCACTGCAACCTCCGCCTCCCGGGTTCAAGTGATTCTCCTGCCTCCTGAGTAGCTGGGATTACAGGCATGCGCCACCATGCCCGGCTAATTTTTGTATTCTTTAGTAGAGATGGGGTTTCATCATGTTGGTCAGGCTGGTCTCCAATTCCTGACCTCAGGTGATCCTCCTGCCTCAACCTCCCAAAGTGTTGAGATTACAAGCATGAGCCACCACACCAGGCCCTAAACACTTAGCACTTTAATCAAAAAGGAAGCTGGCTGGGTGTGGTGGTTTATGCCTATAATCCCAGCACTTTGGGAGGCCAAGGCAGGAGGATCACCTGAGATCAGGAGTTTGAGGCCATCCTGATCAACATGGCGAAACTCCATCTCTACTAAAAATACAAAAATTGCCTGGGCCTGGTGGTGTATACCTATAATCCCAGCAACTTGGGAGGCTGAAGCAGGAGGCAGAAGAATCACTTGAAACTGGAAGGTGGAGGTTGCAGTGAGCCAAGATTGTGCCACTGCACTCCAGCCTGAGTGACACAGCAAGACCCTGTCTCAAAAAAATAAAATAAAAGTGCTAAGTGTTTCTTTTTTCTTTTTTTTTTTTTTTGAGACGGAGTTTCACTCTTGTTTCCCAGGCTGGAGTGCAATGGCGCGATCTCGGCTCACTGCAACCTCCACCTCCTAGATTCAGGCAATTCTCCTGCGTCAGCCTCCTGAGTAGCTGGGATTACAGGCATGCGCCACCATGCCCAGCTAATTTTTTGTATTTTTAGTAGAGACGGGGTTCCACCATGTTGACCAGGATGGTCTCGATCTCTTGACCTCGTGATTCACCCGCCTCAGCCTTCCAAAGTGCTGGGATTACAGGCTTGAGCCACCGCGCCCGGCCGAAAGTGCTAAGTGTTTCTAAATAGCTCAGTTGCTTTCTTTTACCTCTTATCCCTCTCTTAGACCTCCAGTAAGTGAATGCCTGTTGGCTGAGTGTTGTTGAGGCCGCTCTTAGAGCTGAGAGAAGGCAGACCATCAGAGCTCAGTTGCCTCTGGGAAGGTTCTTGACATGGCCCAGGAAACCTAAGATCTGCATAGCAATGGAGTGTCCATCTTTACATAGCCACACTAATTTTACCTGTTAAATTTTATTATAGTAACAAAGTGATTTTTTTTTTTTTTTTTTTTTTTTTTTTTGAGATGGAGTTTCGCTCTTGTTACCCAGGCTGGAGTGCAATGGCACGATCTCGGCTCACCGCAACCTCCGCCTCCTGGATTCAAGCAATTCTCCTGCCTCAGCCTCCTGAGTAGCTGGGATTACAGGCATGCGCCACCATGCCCAGCTAATTTTTTGTATTTTTAGTAGAGACGGGGTTCCACCATGTTGACCAGGATAGTCTCGATCTCTTGACCTCATGATCCACCCGCCTCGGCCCAAAGTGATTATTTTTAATAACAAAAGCAGAGTGCCTGGAGGCAAGAGGATGGCCCTGTCTCAGTCCAAGTCCCCTTACTGTTTCAGACCTAGGCTAGCCAGAATAGTCTTCCAGAATGTAACATTTATCCACCAGGTGTCATTATTTACCAATCTGACAAGCCACTGGGCTGTCTCCATGCATGCAATGGTTGGAATCAAGGCTAGAGACCAGAATAGGAAATGAATGAAAATAGATTTAGAAAAGGGCATTGCGGATGGCATGCATCTTTGTGTGGAGGGAAGGGCTAGCGGGGGAGGGGAGGTAAAGAGTCTCTTTCAAAGACCAGTGACACTTTCCTGATCAAGTTTCCTAAGCTGATGCTTCCCTGGAAGGAGTCAGAACTTGGGTTTGTAAGAGTAGCCCTGGCTTCCAGCTGCACTCTGCTAGACTCAGGTTTGAAGCCTCAAGTCTAAGTAGTTCCCACTTTGATAAAAGAAATTCCCAGCCAGGCACAGTGGCTCACTTTGAGGGGCTGAGGTGGGTGGATCACCTGAGGTTAGGAGTTTGAGACCAGCCTGGCCAACATGGGGAAACTCCATCTCTACTAAAAATACAAAAATTAGCTGGGCGTGGTGGTGCATGCCTGTAATCCCAGCTACTCAGGAGGCTGAGGCAGAAGAATCACTTGAACCCAGGAGGCAGGGTTGCAGTGAGCCAAGATTGCCCTACTGCACTCCACTTTGTGTGACAGAGCAAAATTCTGTCTCAAAAAAAAAAAAAAAAAAAAAAAAAAAATTCCCTTACTGTGCCTAAGTACCCCTCTGGCCTTCCTTTCTAACTTCCTGTGTCTCAGGGCATAGGAAAGCATCCACAGTAGAGAGACAAATTGAGAAATTGCTCCTTCTCAGTCTTCAGACCAGAGAGACCGTTTAGGATATAAAAGGGAGAGAGAAGTCAGGGGCCATGAGAATAGGAGGTGTGTGTGAGTGTGCCTGTGAAAGGCTGGCTGGAAGACCCAAGTAGGCAAAGGATCCTCTACCCGCTCCCCACCACCCGCTCCCCTCATCCCCCCACCGCGCTCTCCAATTTAGGCTGCAGGTGCAAGGCAGGAGGCTGAGATGGGCTCAGGCCAGCCATGGACGCTGCCTGCCCTCAGAGCCAGCCATTGCTGGTGAAATCCATGCGCAGTGCCTCCTCCTCAGCGGGGCTCAGCTCCTGCAAGGGGGCGCGGCAGGGGCCTCCGTAGTAGCCAAACCAGTCCATGGTTTTCTTCAGCCCTGGGATCCCGAAGCGCCGTGTCACCTGCAAAGCAGGGCCTGTTAGAAGACACTGAAGAATTCTCTGAACACAGAAAGTTGAAGTCCTACCCTCTTCCCCCAGGAAAGTAACTATCAAATCTATGGCACTGAGGGTAGATTGGGAATCCAGATTTAGACACCAGAGAGCAGGTCTATAATAGCAAAATGCAAAAACTTGAGATTGAGGAAGAATGCTTCCTTTGGTTTTAGGAGAAAAATCCACTCCAGCAGGGAGGAGAATGGCATTCAGTCCTTGAGCTGGGGTGGAAGAAGACAGCAAGGCTGTGGATATAGGCACTAGAGCATCGCCAGCCTGCAGCCCAGTTCCCTGAAACACTGTGTCCTCCCAGGAAAAGCAAAGCATCATTGCCCAGGGAAGTTTTGTTGTATAAACAATGTGTTACTTACTTATTATTCCTGAGTAAGTTCTCCTGTCTAAAAAAGGAAGGGGCTGGACAACATGATCTCTAAAGGTTTTTTCATGATAATAGGGGGACTAAAGCTATTGTTACAGTTTATTTATTTTTATTTATTTTTTTGAGACAGAGTCTCACTCTGTCAACCAGGCTGGAGTGCAGTGGCATGATCTTGGTTCATTGCAACCTCTCCTTCCCAGGTTCAAACGATTCTCCTGCCTCAGCCTCCTGAGTAGCTGAGACTACAGTTACCTGCCGCCGCACTAGGCTTTTTTTTTTTTTTTTGTATTTGTAGTAGAGACAGGGTTTCACCTGTTGTCCAGACTGGTCTTAAATCCCTGACCTCAAGTGATCTGCCCGTCTCGGCCTCCCAGCATGTTGGGACTACAGGCATGAGCCACCGAGCCTAGAATAATTTATTTATTTAAATTTTATTTATTTATTTTTTTTGAGACAGGGTCTCACGCTGCCGCTTAGGCTGGTGTGCAGCAGTATGATCATGGCTCACTGCAGCCTAGACCTCCCAGGCTCAATCGATTCTCCCACCTCAGCCTCCAGAGCACTTAGGACTACTGGTGCGTGCCACCACGCCTGGCTAATTTTTGCGGTTTTTTGTAAAACGGAGGTCTCACTATGTTGCCCAGGCTAGTCACGAACTCCTGAGCTCAAGTGATCTGCCCACCTCAGCTTCCCAAAGTGCTGGGATTAACAGGTGTGAGCCATGGTGCCCGGCTATTATAATTTAAAATCATGCATGGAATTTTACAGAATAAATGAAGCATCAAATTTCCTTGCTTTTGGTATAGCAACTGTTTATTTCATGCTGATCAGAAGTATTAGATGAATCTATCACTACCTGAAAACTAGGAAAGTGATCCTTAAGAACGTTTTATTTGGAGGGAAGCTAAAACCTTAGGAGGGTAAAAATAAGAGGTTGTTTGGGATAAAAAGGCCAGGAACCATTGATGAAAGATTGACTAATAACTGTTGACCGCTAGAGGCCCTGAGGCTTTATCAAGCATGAATTTTTTTTTTCTTGGAATGGGTGGTAAGCTAGCCTCCTCCAGGCATTGTCCCCCATGATGTTCTAATAGCCAGGCCTTTTTACCCAAAGCTTCAGTAGGTGAGAAAGACCCAGGAGAAGACGGAAGTAAGAGGTACCTGGAGAAAAGCTCATTCCTACTGTGGGTTTCCAAACGTAATTGATATGGACCCTCTTCAAACCCTAAGAAAGGGTTGGTGACGAAGACTGGAGAAAGTCCTAAATGTAGCCAGGGGCAGGAGGCAGGCTGCTTGGAAGGTAGAGGAAGGACATGGTGTTCGACCAGGGAGGGCTAATAGAGTGACATCAAGCTGCTCTTGGGGTGTCTGAGCCTACAGCCCAGGCAGCAGAAAGGTGTTCCAGGCATTCCTGGGTATGTGCCCAGAACTGGCACAGGAGAGGATGCAGAATGAAGGGTGAGTCAGGATGACACGCAGATATCAGGATGGCAGCTAGGCATTCGCTCTTCCCCAGGGGCAGCCCAAGCTGCTTCGTCTGTGAAATGAGGTGATAACAACACCTACCCCATAGAGACATCACAGGGCCAGATGAGAAAAACACCACTAATATTAGAACAATTCCCATGAGCCCTGGAAATTGCTCCTTTGCCCGTCCCACTGGAATGTGGGTTCTGGGACCTTCACTTTCACAGGTGGATGTCAGTGGGAGAGCAGAGGCCGCCCCCCGCAGGGGAATGTTCAGTACGTGCAGGATGGCCTATGCCCAATGGAGGCCTTCGTTTCTGCAAGTTCTTACAACCTATGTATGAAAGGTCCCATTTCCGGAGCACTTTCACCTCCAGAGGGACACAGACTTGCCTCCTCAGCTGTCCTTTCTAAATCTAAGTTAATTTGCCCCTTTGAGGTAAGGATACAGCTGTGAGGGAGCTCTAGAGTCCACCCACCACTTTACCCAAATAAAATACCGTAGAGTGCCAAGTTCGGCCTGGGACTGTGAGAAGGTGCATGAGGTCCTTACCTTGCATGCAAAACTTAAGGGGAAGCCAAAAACCTCAATCATCAAAATAAGTAATATTTCAACACAATTTTATGTTCTGAGACAGAGTCTCACTCTTGTCCCCCCAGGCTGGAGTACAATCGCATGATCCTGGCTCAGTACAACCTCTGCCTCCTGGGTTCAAGCGATTGTTCTGCCTCAGCCTCCCAAGTAGTTGGGATTACAGACGTGAGCCACCACTCCTGGCTAATTTTCGTATTTTTCGTAGAGTCAGGTTTTCACCATGTTGGCCAGGCTGGTCTCGAACTCCTAACCTCAGGTGATTCGCCCAACTTGGCCTCCCAAAGTGCTGGGATTACAGGCGTGAGCCACCGCACCCAGCCAAAATAAGTAATATTTCAATGCAATATTATTTAAAAATCAAAGTCTATGCAAAAAAAAAAAAATTCACAGTGAACAGTTTTAAATAAAGACAGGATCTGACGGAGCTGTGCCCTGCCATATTGAAGCCTCATGCAAAAGTAATCATGTGTGCCCCATATACATGGGGTTTTTTGGTGTATTTTTTATTTTTATTTATTGTATTTTTTGCATTTCTTTTTTTGAGACAGGGTCTTGCTCTTTTGTCCAATCTGGAGTGAAGTGCCGTGACCTTGGCTCACTGCAGCCTCAACTCCACAGGCTCAAACAATCACCCTGCCTCAACCTCTGAGTAGCTGGGACTATAGTTGCACACCACCATGCCCAGCTAATTTTTATTTATTTTTACTAAAGACAAAAGTCTCACTATATTGCCCAGGCTGGTCTCAAACTCCTGAGCTCAAGTGATCTTCCTGCCTCAGTCTCCCAAATTGCTGTGATTATAGATGTAAGCCACTGTGCCCTGCTGGTTTTTTAATGGTTAATCTTTTTCTAGAATTAGATTTGGAAAAATATGTTTGAATGAGTTTGCTTCCATTAAGCCAGGAAAATAAAATTATAATTCATGTTTTTGGTATATGAAATATTTAAACCTAAAACCGTGGCATGAGTTTTAACATACCTGCTTTTCAATTTTCAGTATTTTTTCGCCCACTTTAATGTTCTTAGTGGGGAAAATGTCACCATTTAGAAAAATACGTAGAGCTCCACTTTCAGGAAGATGGATTAGAAGTGTTTGTCCTGATTCTTCCCAATAACTACAACTAAAAACTGGACATGATATAAAAAACAAACATAAGAAGACTCTGGAAGGCAGAGAACAGAAGGAAGACCAGCGAGGGACCTAGAGACCCATGAAGCCACACGGTGCTGTGTCCCCTGGCCCAGACTTGGAGCTGAAGAAGTCAGCAACCATACAACGTCAATGGGTACAGACAATAACAACCCTAGCAGAAGCCAGTTCTCTCTAGCCACAAAGGACCAGAAAAGAGGTCACCTAGCAAGATGGAAAGCTTTCAGAGAATAACCACTCTACTCCAGCCAAACACCAGCCAGGCCAGCTGAGTGAAGGAGCCTGAGCTGCCACCCCTACTCCCGGCTAGGTGGCGTCAGAGCGGGCCTGCTAAAGGGGAGTCAGGACTTGCACCACTGCTCGTCTTCAAAAGGCCACCAGAGGCCACTGCACCCACCGCCAGATGCACAGGCAATGCAGTAGAGACAGTGTGTAGGGAGCAGCAAGGGTGCTTTACCCTCCAGGCAGCAGGATGTCCATAGATGCCTAGTACAGAGCCTAGTGCAGAGGTGTCTTCTTTTTTTTAAATTTTTTTTCCACAGAGATGGGGTCTCACCATGTTGCCGAGCCTGGTCTCAAACTCCTGGCCTTGAGCAATACTGCTGTCTCCACCTCCAAAAGTACTAGGATTACAGGCATGAGCCACTCTGCACCAGATCCTTAGGTGTAAATTTCTTAAAATATGTACAGGACTTGTTGGCTGAAAACTACGAAATGCTAAAGAAGTAAATCAAAGAAGATCTAAATAGAGAAATGTACCGTGTTCAAGGACTGGAGGACAACATAGTAAAGAAGTCAGAGGCCAGGTGTGGTGGCTCACACCTGTAATCCCAGCACTTTGGAAGGCCGAGGCAGGCGGATCACAAGGTCAGGAGTTTGAGACCAGCCTGGTCAACATGGTGAAACCTCGTCCCTACCAAAAATACAAAAAATTAGCCAGGTGTGGTGGTGGGCGCCTGTAATCCCAGCTACTAAGGAGGCTGTGGCAGGAGAATCACTTGAACCCAGGAGGCAGAGGTTGCAGTGAACCAAGGCTGTGCCATTCATTGTACTCCAAGCTGGGCAACAGAGCAACACCCCATCTCTTAAAAAAAAAAAAAAAAAATCAGTTGTCCCCAGATTAGTGTACAGGCTTAACACAATTTCAGTCAAAGGCTCAGCAAGATTTTATTGTAGATATAGACAAGATTCTTGTAAAATTTATATGAAAAGGTAAAGAAATTAGACTAACTAAAACAATTGTGAAGGGGGAAAAAAAGAACAAAGTGGGAATTATCAGTCTACCGGATTTTGAGACTTAGCTACAGCAATCAAGTCTGTGTGGTATTGCAGAGAGATAGACACAGATGAATGGAAAGAATAGAGAACCCAGAAAT